CCTTATTTGAATCCAACTCATTACCTTTTTCACGTTCTCTCCAGATCCTGTCTGCATCTTTCACCCTTCGCGAATGGCCATAAAAAAAATTCCTATTTTTCTAATTGATTTTGTTGATTCTCTCTCCTTTATTTCTTTGATTTCCCTTTTCCACATTCAATTTCCCTTCTCTTCCGTTGTTCTTCCCCCTCTGTAATCATCCCCATAGCATTTTTCTCTCTTCAGTTTTCATTTCTAAATCCCAAAATCCCTATGGACTAAAACTAAAATTTTATTTAGGTAAATGATTTCTTGTTACTAAATCATCTGATGAAATTCAATAGAAAAATAAAAGTAAAATCGGTAAGAGAATGTAGTTTTTGTTAAAAAAATTCACCAAATCACAATCTAATAACATTAGAATTGCTTTTGGGCTTGTTGATAAATGTGATTGGAAGGGTAAATGGGCAGTGCCTCCACCAATGGAAGATGGTTTCTTGAGAGGGGAATAAAGTAGGTGAATCTTAATGTTATGTTTAATTTAAAAGAAATAGGGAAGAAATTAGATTTTTTAACAAATTAAATTACATTATTTATGAATGTTATAAATTAATTAATTAAAAAAATAATCTCTTTCCCCCTTCCCTCTCATTCAATTTTTTTCTCAAATTAATAAATAACATTTTAAGTTGAATGTTAGCATTTTATATTTTTAGAATAACTTTATTAAACTCGAACGTTAATTCATTCTATAGATTTATAGAGTGTGAGTTTATAGTAAGCTAGTATTAAGAGCATGTTTGGTAAAAAATTAAAGTTTTTCTCTACTTTTTATTTTATAGAGTTATTTATATATTTTTATATCGTAATATTACAATAAAATGAGGATAAAAGTGATGTTTTTAACATTTATCTTTCCTAACTCAATTCTTTATTAATAAATTTTTATTTTCATATTTTTCAAAGAAAAAAAATATCTCTCAACTTTTCACATATAAAACTTACAAAATAACTTTTCACTAATTTTTTTATATTAATTTCTTTGTAAACATGAAAAAGTTAATAATATAATGAAATTCAAACAAAATTTTATTATAAAATTTTCATATTTTGCAATCTATATTTATTATAAATTTGTTATATTAACAGCTAATATGGTCAGACCAAATTTTTTGACCGATTACCCGGTCAAACCACTCAAACCATGAATCGGAGGGCAAAATGGTTCGACATTTTGACCTCCGATTTGGTTTTCAGAACATTGCATCGAATGGCGGGATTAAAGAAAAAGGTTTGAACGGTTTAGATGCGTAGAGGGTAGAAATTGTAGGGTCCGCCTTCTTTTTCTATAAATATAGGGAGCCGAGAGGGTTTTGGTTTGGGGCCAGAGAGGATTATTGGAGAGCAGC